TTATATATATATATATATATATATATATATATATATATATACAGTGTGTGTATATATAAAGAAACAAGTAGATAGAATAGAAAAAGAATAGGGAACTAGTGTTAGAGGGTCATTTTTTATAATAAATAAAAAGAAAACAAGCAGTTAGAGAACAAATAGAGAGTGCAAGTGTTAGAAGATGAAGTGTGTTTTTTTTAAATAAAAAAAGTAAACAAATAGATAAAATAGAATTAGAATAGAGAGTGCATGTGTTAGAGGGTCAGGTGTTTTTTTTTTAAACGAGGAAGACTTCAGTCTTCATGTCTTGCTTTATTTTCAGCAGAAATCTTGATGAATGAATGATGGAAGCATGAATAAACCACGCGTCTGTTTTTGCACTTCTGACTTTACGGTGAAATATTCAGACGATATTCTTGTCTGAGTGTGTTTTAATGGAGGAGGACAGACGGGTGACAAAAGATGCTGTTAGAAGCGTCTCAAGCGTCGCCTTCAGTCTGGAAACGCTTTCTCTTTCACAGCGTCTTCATGCATGATTCAGCTCCAGATTCCCGTGATCCCCCTCATCTTAATTAGCTCTGGCAGGTCTTGAGGAAACGCACATCTCGTTAATTATGGCGTAAGGGTGGGTTTTGTTTAGCGGCGGCGAGCGTGATTTCACACATTAAGAAGGGGATCTGGCTTTGGGTGCTTTAGCCTAGCGTTGAATAACTGCCACGTCACGCTTTAGCATAGATTTACACTCACACACTCAGCTCCAAATCAACAATAACTCAACGCAAATATCAAAAAACTTGCGCTTATTTCAGATAGTTTCCAAAGCAGTTTTCATTTAGTTTAACTTGATGTACTAAAACAACAAACTTGAATGAAAACGATATATATATATATATATATATATATATATATATATACATAAAAATATAAAAAAAAAAAAAAAAATCTTCAGAATGTTTTTTTGTTATAATAATATTTGATGGAATATTATTATATTATAAAATTATGTTTTATTTTTATACTGTTTTGCATTTCAAGTACATTCTTAAATCAAGAAACATTTCAATGACAAGATATTAAATCTGGTTTTCTGAGAAATAATATTATATAATATTGTATATAAATGAAATATATTATTTTATAAAGTAAAATTCCCTTTATTGTTATAACTACTACTTTTTATTAAAGTATTATTTATTAATTATTATTATTACTTGTATTTTTAATTAATTTTCACAATTAATTTGTACTTTTATGAATTATTTTTATTTTAAAAATTAATTTTACCCAAAATTCTCATTACTGTAATGCTAAATAAATAAATAAACGATCTTTACTGTAATGCTTTTATTTTATTTTATTTTATTTTATTTTTGTACTTAATTACTTTGTACTTAAATATTTGTAAAAAATTATTTAAAAAAATTGCATTTTACATCAAATTTCCATGCTTTTTACTTATGTATAAATAAACAATCTTTACTGTAATGCTTTTATTTTATTTTATTTTTGTATCATTTAATTTTAAAATGTACTAAAATACTTAAATATCTGTAAAAAATTATTTTTAAAAATTGCATTTTACTCCAAATTTCCATGCTTTTTACTTGCATGCATACATGTATGCATAAATAAATAAATAAATAAGTATTATTTCAATAAAAAAAATGTGTGTGACTCACACCAATTGTGTAAAGAGTATGTCAGCATCTCGTGTCTCTATCACAGTGTGACGTTATTCAGAGCGAATCGCAGCGGCTGTATGTTTCTGACAGAGATCATGCGACTGAGATGGTGTTCAGGTGAAGCCGGGGGGAAATTAGAAAAGTGGCGCAGCTGGATGAAAACAGAAATGTGTTTTTAAACGCTTTCACATTGCTGCTCTATTCTGGCAGAAATTGGTCACAGCTGGTTTGAGCCGAGGTGCCTGCCTTTATATCCGATGCGTGTAAACGTGAAAACACGACTGCGAGGTTAAACAGCTTCTCCAGCAGCAGATGTTTCATCCTCATCGTAAATGTGATTCGATTGCTTTGGGAGAGCGTTCAATACAAGCGTGTACGACTGAAAACACATCTTAATTCAGTCAGAGCACGTTTGCTGTGTTTTTCATGGCTTTCATAGCAGATAAGATGGATTTTGATGTGTGTGTATGTATATATGTTTGTGTGTGTGTATGTGTGTATTTTTCCCTATTACTGTAATTATTACAATTACAACGAATTTAGGTTATTATTATTATTATTATTATATATATTTTGTATTATTATACATTAATTTAATTTTATTTACTTTTTATTTAAATTAAATTTAATTGTATTTTATTTTATTTTTAAATGGAAATGAGTGTGACTTTATGCTCAGTGAGTAGTAAAAACATTTTTTAATGATAAAAGACAACTTTTTACTCTAAATTATCATTACTATAATTCAAAAATATTATTTTATTATTTTTAATTTAATTTAATTTTATTTTATTTTTTTTTTCCCATTACTGTAATTACTACAATTACAATGAATGTAGGTTATTATTATTATTATTATTATTATGATTATTATTATAATACATATTAATTTTATTTACTTTTTAATTTAAGTTTTATTTAATTTTATTTAATTTTAAAATGGAAATGAGTGTGACTTTATGCTCAGTGAGTAGTAAAACTTTTTTTAATTATAGAATGCATCAAATTATACCCTAAATTATCATTACTGTAATGCAAAAAATATTATTTTATTATTTTGAATTGAATTGAATTTATTATTAATTATATAGAAATTGTGTAAATATTTGATCAACAATTTTTCAACATATATTTAAATTATAAAAGATTTGCATTTTACCCTAAATGCTTAATTTAATTTAATTTAATAATTTGTAGTATCATTTAAAAAGGAAATTTTTTAATTTTTAAGAAAACTTTATGCATATATATATGCAGTGTATATATATATATATATATATATATATGTATGCAGGGTTTGAAATTAACACCCGCCAAATGTGGGTAAAAATCAGCTGTGGCGGGTAACGCTGTCAAATCACTAGCCAATTTGGGTTACTTTTTGTAAGTTATGTTCACTCATTAATTTCTTGGGGAAGTTCATGCAAGCCAAATCTGTGCAGGTTTAGCACAAATACTGAACTCGTAAGACATCATGACATTATCGAGTATATTGCAAAAACCAAACAAAATACACCTAA